GCCCAAAAGGCTGGCAGAGGTGACAACCTCCAGCCAAGCCGTAAAGCAGCCGGCTTTGCCCACTGGCAGACAGAAATAAAGTTCCCACACCGTGTTCGTAGGGGGTGGATTTTCATAAAGACATCCTGGCCAGCCTCCAGCAGCCTTCATCCTGCTCGCCGAGCCACGCTTCCCCTGCAGCTCCAAGCGGGGGCAGCAATCCTGTGTGCCAGGTCCCAAAACCTTGTACCAGGTCCCAAACCCTCGTGCCGGGTCCCAAACCCTCGTGCTGTTCTGTTATTGAGCAGCTGCTGCTGCCTTGAGCACACTTTGTGTGCACGCAGGAGTTTATAGGGCATTTGGGCACCGTTCCTGAGAAATGGCCCCGCACAAGCTTAAGATCTCCAATCCGCTGCTGTTGCAAATATTTTTTTTTTCCTTATGTTTTTGTGTTGTGGTTGTTCGTCCAGGCACCGACCAGGTGCCAAAAAGGTGATGATGTCCTGGGTGAAGATGTCCTGGGTGGGCACAGCCCTGCACAGCTCCCTTCCCACCCAGCGACCTGCTTACCCGCAGGACCGACGAGCACACCCAAGACACCCTCCAGCACTGCTCCCTATGGAGCAGGGGGCTTCACTTTGCCCTCCAGGGGCTTCTGCTGAGCCCAGCTCCTGTGCCGAGCCTCCCTCTGCTCCTGGGATGTGCTGAAGGTGAAGCATTCCCCCCCCAGCTCCCAACCTGCCTGCTACACCCTCCAAAAAAAAACCACCAAATGTGTTTTCCTCCAGGTCAACCAGCTAAGGTAAATAAGCCCGTGTGTCTCCTTCCAGTTACATTAACAGGGAACGGGGAGCTAATTACATCGACGAGCTGAAACAGATTCAGAAGAGCAGGCAGGGTTGTTTCTTCCAGCTGGACACAATGAGATTAAAAGCACACCGGGACCCGGATCCCTTTTCAGCAGAGCGCTGTGAAACCAGTGGCACCGACCCAGCAGGGCTGAAAATACACGGCGGGGCACACCCTTCCCTCCAAACACACCTGCCACTTTTTTTTTCCCCTCCTCTCTCCCACATCCTCTCTGGAAAGGCCAAACTTCATTCATTACAGAACCGAAATATTTCCTTTTTTATTCTAATATTTCCTGTGCGGAGCCTTCCCCTTTTTTTATAGCCAACCATCTGGGAGCGGGGAGAGGAGAGGAAGCCCCAGAGCTTTTCAGACACAATAAAAATAAATAAATAAATAAATAAATAAAAAAGGCATGGCGTTTGATTAAAACCAAAATGCATAAACAAACAAACCATGTACCCAGAATAATGACTTCAGGGGGGGAAAGCCGCCAAAAAAATTGTATAAGCCGCCCGAGTGTCACCCGTCCCTCGCTCAGAGAGGCAACGGAGGGAGAAGGGAACGGAAAGTGCTGGGGCCGAGCTGCTCCTCGTGCTCCCCGAGGGCTGGGCAGGAGGGCGAGGGGCTTCAGAAGACAAGTTGAATGCCCAGGTGCCAGGAGGAGCACGATTTCCCCACGCACCGGGCGCTTCCCAGCGAAGGCAGCCTGGTGTCTCCCCGCAGCGCCCTGCCCTGCCCTGCCCTGCCCTGCCTGGAGGTGCAGCCACGCGTATTTTGCTGCCCCAACACGTACCCAGGCACAAAGCTCTGCCAAGCCTGGAGCCTCCAGCCGGGCAAGACGGCTGAGCAGCTCGGAGCAGCGAGCCCCGTTAAATACCCCGCTAATTCGGTTTTCTTCCCCGCGGCGCAGGCGCCGCTCCACCACCGCCACCAGCCGAGCCTCCTAGGGTTTCGGGAGGAGATCCAGGAGCTCCTCACTCGCTGCCACTCCAGGGTCAGGCATTTCAGAAGCCTCTGTGGTGCTTGCATGCAGCCGTGGACCCAGGCAGGGGGTAAGGGGCTGCTCCTAGGGGCTGCCCACGGGACCAAAAGCGGGGACACCGAGGTCCCCGTGCTGCAGCAGAGGCTTGGGGACAGCTGAGAGAGGGAAAAAAACGTGTGTGGGGTCATCCCACTCCCAGCTCCATGACATCCCCCTCGGTCCATGCCACCCCGAGTGCCACAGGGCTCCCGGGTGGTCCCCAGATGTCCCCAGGCACCACAACCCTTCCCCAGTTCAGGTCCCCAAGTGCCAGCAGGCAGAAGGACCCAGAGCCCGCACTTGCACTTTGATTTCCACTCCAGCTCCTCTTTTTAAGGAAAGGAAGCAGCGATCTCGAGGCTGATCCCTTCTAACCAGTAAAACCAGCTCTGTTTCCAGGCCACGATGGAAACGGGGCAGGAAGCAGGGCTCCCCGGGGCAGGCCCTTCCTCCTCCTCCTCCTCCTCACACCGCGGGCACTGCTGAGCCCCCGCATCCCACCGTGAAGCAGCAGGGTGCTGCCGCCCAACCCCTGATGCACTCGTGCAGCTCTCACCCCAACACACCTCTACATCAACTAACTGGAGGTAGAAACGTCCAAACCCAGCACCTCTCCCACTACCTGGCGCTCACAGACCCCAAAAACCCCAATTCCTGGCAGCACCGACACCAGGCGGGTTGGGGATGCTCACCTGCCACCCGGCGCGGGCACACCAGCAGCACAGCCCTGCCCGGGAGCACACCTCACACACTCACTGCATTCCCTTCCCGGGCTTAAAATCACCGTCACCTTCCCAGAGCTGCCCCCCACGAGATGGGGGACAGCCCTGTCACCCCCCTGGCCTGTGGGTTCCCAATTAGGATGGGTTACGCAAGCTGCGTGCAGCCACCCTGCCCTTACAGCACAAGCTGAGCTCCCTCCTCATGACAAGCAGCAGGCTCCCGGCTCCTGTAAAAGCCAAGCTGGTGCACGGTCTCACTCAGGAGGGTTTTTTTTGCCACGTTCAAGCCCAAAAACCCCATCCTCCCCGAGCATATCCCTCTGGATGGCACGCAGCCGATGGGTCCCTGCACAGCGCCTTGGAGAGGTGCCACCGGGCGCAGGGGGTGCCACAAAGCCACCGCAGGCAGGGGACACCCAGCACCCTGAGGTCCCCAAAAATCAGGTCTGGGAGGAGGGCGATGCCGTGCAGCACCCAGACGGGGCAGGCAGAAGGCAGGCTGTGGAGACACGGAGGCTGAGCCGGGCAGCCAGGCGGCTGGCCCACGGCCACGGGTGAGGCAGCGCCAGCTCTGCGTGACTCGTGGTGCCCGCTCTGGCACCGGGCACAGCCTGAGGATCTGCATTATGGCAAGCCCCAGAGACTGAAACGCCAGGAGCTGTGCCTCCCATTTCCCCGTTAGTGGTTATATCAGCCCCAAAGCCGCCTGATTTATGGCACACCCGTACGTGCGCACTCGCATCCGCGCAGAGCGTTTGGGCTGCTTGCTCCTTGCCTTCTCCCATGCGCTCATGCACAGCCCAAAGACTCCGTGCAGCCAGCAAAAGGCAAAAAGCCTCACATTTCTCCCAGGAAGGACAGCTGCAGCTCCTGGGGATCTGCTTGCTGCCAGGAGCTGGGGCTGCAGGGGTTCAGCCTCCCCGCAGCGCCCCAAAGCCCTGGCGCTGGGTGCCCGGCTGGGGGTCGTGGTGGGAGCGTGCACCGACAGCCGGCGTTCCTCCCTCGGAGCATCACACCAGGCAGACCCACACGGGTAACCCAGCACCCCACCGCCTCCACCCCGAGGGATTTCACCCCCTCCGACACCAAAACGCCCCTCGCCAACTCGCCAGACCCAGGGACGGGCAGGACGGGGAATAAAACATTACAGTCGCCTCTAAACCACTTTTATTTTCAGGCACAGGACCGAGCAGACCGATCTGCAGGCTGCCCGGGGGACGCACAGGTTAAGGGACCGGCCAGCCCTGCTCACACCGCTCCCCCCGGGCTGCCGGGCGCAGGCTCTGCCCTTTGTGCCGCGTTAAAAAAAAAATAAATAAAAAAATAAAATACAGGAGGAAAAGTTATGTTGCTAATAAAGGGCTGTGTTGTGCCATCAATTTTTTGCAGCCGTAACGATCCTGGGAGGGAGCTCAGCGGCGCGATCAATCGGGCAGCAGGGCGAGGAGATCAGCCCGCACGCTGCACCCACGGCACCACGGTGTGGGGGGCTCGGGGCTGGGGGTCCCCTCCTGCAGCAGGGGGCAGGGGTGGGATGGGACGTGGGGGATCCTGCCACGGGACACGGTGACACGGGGGGGTGAGCAGCATCCGCACCCCCATGGCACTTATGGGGGGGAGCGGGGGGTCCCTGGGCACAGCGGGATGGGCAGGGGAGGAGGGAAAGGATCATCAGGTGGTGCCCGGATAAAGGAATGGGGTAAATGGGATGGTGGAAAAGGGATAAGAAAAGGGGATAAATAAATAAAAGGGGTAAAGAAAAGGGGTGAAGAAAAAGGGGGTAAAGAAAAGGGGGTAAAGAAAAGGGGTAAAGAAAAGGGATGGATATGGGATAAGGGACATGGGATAAATAAAAGGGATAACTACATGGGACAGATATGATGGATACGGGGTGATGGATATGGGATAAAAAAAAGGGGGATAAAAAGGGATAAAAAAAGGGATAAAAAAGGGATAAATAAAAGGGAAAAATAAAAGGGATAAATAAAAGGGACAGCTATGATGATGGGATGAGGGCTATGGGATAAGTGAAAGGGATAAATAGAAGGGATGGATATGGGATGCTGGGTGTGGGATAAACGGGAGAGATACGGGATGACGGACACGGGATAAATCAATGGGACAGATACGGGATGGTGGATACGGGGTGAATTAATTGGGGTACGCGAGTTGGGATGGGGACGGGACGGGGGGACACGGGACGGGGGGACACGGGACAGGGGGACACGGGACAGGGGGACACGGGCGCATTTTGGGGTTGGCGGCGCCGTCGGGGCGCAACCTTTTTGGGTTGGGGGGGGGCACACACACAACACCCCGCACCCCGCTGACACCCCCACCCCCCCCAGCACCCTGGGCTTAATTAACACCCCTAATTAGCGGGGAGACGGAGCTGAAGGACTGGGGGGGGGGGGGCGCGGACCCACCTGCGGAGCGGCGCTCGGGGCCGGCGTCTGGCGGCGGCTGGGGGCGGCGGGCGGAGGCCCGGATGTCGGCGCTGCCGGTGCCGCTCCCGCCCTGCCCCCGCCTCCCCCCGGCGCCGATCGCTCCCCGTACAAAGCCCCCCCCCTCTGCCCTCCCCCCCCCCCCCTTTTTTTCCCCGGTCCTCCCTTCCCCTCCCCTCCCCTCGCCGCCGCCGCCGCCGCCCCGTCGGGGCGCCCCGGGGGCCCCGCCCCTACCCGCCACGGGGGACGGACAGGCGGAGCAGCCAATGGGAAGGCAGGGATAGGGGAGGTGGGAGGGGCTTAAGGGTAGGACACGCCCCCCCTGGAGGTGCCTCAGGGGGGTGCCGTGAGGAGGGCGCAGAGCGCCGCCGGCGGCGGGCGGCGCAGGGTGGGGAGTGGGGTGCTGCGGGGGTGCGGAGGGGCTCTTGGCTGGATTATTCGTGGTGTTGGTCGAAAAGGGTCGGGGATTGGCGGTGTTTGAGGAAAAATAAAAATGTAGTGTGGCACGAGTCTCGTGTTTGGCTTGAATCGGTCAAATCGCAGGTTGAGGGTGCTGGCTGTGCCCTGAGAGGGCCAAGCCCTTGGGGAGGTCGGAACCAGAACGGCAGCAATTAAATCAAAAGTCAGGCTTTTAATCAGCTTCTCCCAGCACCAGGGAGCCGCAGAGCCATTAAACCCTCCAGGATCACCGGGTCCAACCACCCCCTAACACCGCTGCCACCACCAAACCCCGTCCCCAAGCACCATGGCCAGCCTCTCCCCCAGGGATGGTGACCCCACCACCCCATCCCTACACCCATCCACATTTTCTGACAGAAAAATCTCCTCATTTCCAACCGAAACCTCCCCTGGCACATCTGGAGGCCGTTCCCTCTAGTCCCAGAACCACCACTTGGGTCCCAACACCGGGTTTCACCAAGGGTTGTTTTCATTTGCAGCTGTTTGGGCAATTCCGCTGTTGTTTTGCTGTTATTGCTTCGCTTTATTTATTCTTTTTAAGCCAGACCCAGCCAAAAGGACAATTAGGTTGCATCTTGCTGGCAGCCGGCCCCGCCGGCACGTCTCCGTGCTGCCCCAGCAGGTCCCCGAGCACTCATGGATGAAGGCTGGCAGCCCGGCCCGCGTCCCTCCGAGGCTTCAGCCCCGCTGCCAGCCACCCCCGTGGGCCATTCCCTTCATACATCCACCTTTATAGCACTTTAATGCACCCATTTCCAGGATTTTTGTGGTAGATGGAGCAAACACGCATCAAATCTGTGCTCTGAGACCGAGCCCAGCCTCTGCTCACCGCCGATCCAACCTGGGGGCTGACTCTGAGTGCCTTACGTGGTCAAAACGCTCCGATTTTGGTGGAAATCCTTCCCTACTCGTGCAATGTTTTACTCAAAGGGAAGGTTTAAATTATAAAGGATAGGCAGCAGCTGCTGTGACTTTGCTCTGCTGGTGCAGGAATGTACGTTCCCAGCAGCAGGCGGAGGCAGGATTTGGGGATATCACCCAGCAAGCTGCAGAGAGCTTTTGTGCAATGCGCTGTGAGTCTTCTGTATCGCCTGGTTTCGGAGAGGAAGGACCAGAAGAAGGACCCGTCACCATCCAGAGGAAGGATGCGGTCCAGCTACAGAAAACCTCCAAATGGACCGGAGGGGATTTTCCCTGGGGAGGCTGCAAGCTCGAGGTCTGGCAAACACCAGCAGAGCTGGCAGGAGACTGAAAGCCTCCCTAGGGAAAATCCCCTCTGGCCCTTACGGAGAAACCTCCAGCTTTCTCCTGTTGTGTAGATACAGGTTTAACACCTGATTATTTCTAAAATAACCTCATGTAAAGCACTCCTGACAGCAACAACGTGGCGCTGCCCCCTGATCTCCCCTGCTCACATCCCACCATCAAAAATCCATCGGGGTCATTCTGCCCTCCCGAGCATCCAAGCCCACGGCAGCAAATGGGCCTTGGAGAGGGTGTGTGACAGGAGACAGACGTGTGCTAAGCACTCCTGCTCGCCTTCGTCTGGCAAACACTCACTCAGGAGGCTAGGAGGGGGCAGCCTGCGACAAAGATGTGTCCGTGTCACACCTATGCTGTAGCCTGTCCCGTCTCCTGCTGCTCCCAGGTGGACCCTGGACCTGGTTCTTTTCCTCACCGTGCCCAGGACTCTTGGTAGTTCCTTTTCACCAGCAGCTGGCCCTGCCAACCATCCTCGGGACCAGTGGGACTGCATCCTGCTCGCCTCTGTCTCTAGTCACCCCCATCTCACTGTCCTTGCCAGAAAGGATCACTGATCCTGGTGGCACCACAGCACCCAGAGCCTGTTTGGCCAACTCCAGCAAGCTCAGGCATCTGCCCAGAGGGCTCTGGCGTGCCAAGTTTATTCTCTTCGGAGAGCAGGGACTTGGCTTTGGGAGAGAGGGCTCATCTCTGGCTGGCGTTTGCTTGCAATGCGACCGGGAGTGTGGGAACTGGCAGGGGAGTGTAGGGAGCTATCTCATCTTCAGCCCCGTAATCAATAGCGAATCATCACTTAAAAAGTCGAGTGGTGTTTTTGTAGGGCAAGACGTGCCCCGCATTTCCAGCCTTTGATTCATCTGGCTTAATGCGCCATGAGATGGGGCTCGGTGGGTGAGTCACGTCGTAAAAGCTCTCCCATCCCTCCTGGTGCTCCCTCCTGGCAAGTGGGTCACGGTTGCTTCAGCGTGTCTGAGCCTCCTCCATCCCAGCTCTGGGAGCCTCCAAGGCCCTGTTAGGGAAATCCCAAAGCCCAGACCTCGGGGGGATGGCACCACACCACACGTGGGGCTCCTGCCAGGGTTGAGACACCCACAGCCTGGATGGGGGTGATGCAGCTCGCTCCACCCGGGGGTATCCCCTTGGGATGCTGTGACGGAGCTGGATATGATTTTTTCCCCCTTTTATTTATATGCTGAGGGTGCAGGGAGAGATCCTTCGCTGATAACTCCCCGTGCACTGCTCTGACAGCAGTCTGACTCGGCTGGTTCCCCTGGAGCTATCCTGGGTTTTCCGTCAGTTTGGGTGGGACGGGGGGCTCAGAGAAGAGATGGGAATTGGGATTGCTGGAACCAGCTGGGAGGAGGGCAGCACAGAAGGCTGTGGAGGCCCTCGCATGATGCCCATATCCTGGACTGCTTCTCAGAGGTGGTTTCCAGCACAGACTCCAAACCCCCTCTTAACCATATTTCCCGTTACAGCCTTCCCCATCCTAAAACAGCTACATAAATGATGATATCAAAATGCCCTTGGAGATGCAGGCAGGCTCCACCAAAACCAGTGTCGAGTCCAACTCCAGACCTGAAGCAGCCCTGATGCTGCCCTGATGCTGCAGAGGAGGAACGGAGGCAGGAGAAGCCCCCAAATCCCTCCTGGAAGCAGGGAATCCATGGGGAAGGTGCCAGCGTGAAGGGTTGCGGACACTTGTGCCGTGCCGGGTGGTGCTGGACAGGGCTGAGCACACGGGGTGGAGGCCAGCAGCAAGGCTGACCCCAAGGAGCTGGGTCTGGGGCTGGATGCTTGTGTCTAAAATGCCCAGGGACCGAACAGATGGCTCCTCTTTATTTGCATGCTACTTGGATTTGTGAGTCAAGCAGAAGAATAACTTAATTTTTGACATTTGCTTCTCCTCGGAGCCCGGCACAATTTATGTTATGCTGGCATTTGCGTGAAGGATGTTGCTTTAGGCACAAAACCCATCCTGGCTTTAACCCTAAAAGGAGCCAAGTAGGCAGGAACCGTATTCCTCCCGAGCTCTTTTGTAGGCTCTGCCAAGGGATATCACACTTACACAATGACCAAGGAATCAGGAGAAAACAGTCATTTGGGGCTTGTGGAAGGAAGGGGCAGGGTTGGAGTTAAACTGGACTGGAAAATATCTCATTTGTAGGCCTGAAATGAGAGGCTGCTTGTGGGTGAGGTTTACCTACCATTAAAAATACCCTTCAAGGCCTGTGCAGCTCGTCTCGAGCAGAGGGGACGAATTTAGTAGGGCCCTGCTCCCGCCGACATAAACCAAAGTGAAAATAATATAAAATACAGCCAGGTCACAGCCTCTGCAAGCCTATTAAAAGCCTGGCTGATTGCTGCCGGCCACGACTCGCGTGTCTGTGTGCCACCCCTGCAAGGGGGGCACAAAATAAAGGGAGGTTTTGCTCAGCTGTGCAGATCATCCTACACCTGCAGCAGCTCGTGGTGGCCGTGTGGCAGCTCAGGTGGCTCAGGAGTGTCCTCCTCACCAAAATGGGCTGCTGCTGCCCACGATAACCCCGTATGGGAGTTGCTGCTGGAGTCTGAGCTGTGCCCCGTGGGTGCTCCAGGTCTGGGGCTGCCAAGCCTTTCCCCTGCAGCTCCTGCACCTCTTGCATTCACTGCGATCCCCATCTTGTGGCCAGTTCTGCGCCTGCACGTGGGCCATAAACTCCGATGGTACAGTAATAACTCAGTCGCTTTTGAGATTGATTTGAGATTTGGCCTGAGCCCTGGGGGAAAAAAAGAAGACGCCGAGGACACGGTGGCTGAGGTCTTGCTCAGGTGCAGGTGGTTTTTTAACCACCACCACCACCCCTCTTGGTGCCCTCTGTGTCTCGTGGAGCACAAAGAACATCACAGTTCTCATCTCGTTAGGCTGGGTGCTTCGGAAACAGGGCTGAGCCCAGCATCCACGTAGGGCTGGGAGCCATGGCACGGGGATCTGAGTCCCCTGGGCTAGCCCACAGCTTTCCAGGGCCTTCAGGGACGCCAGGATCTTTGCAGACTGCATTTTTCTGCTGGCTTTCAAGCTGCTGAAGACCAAAACCCTCTTGCTGTGTTGCTGCAAGGAGCTGGGACAGGCACCCTGTGCTCCGTGTCCTCTCCAGGACCCATCCGGGTGCCTACATTCAGGGTCCAGGCACCAGCGCTGGGACCCCTTTGTATCTCTGCCTAACTTTTCACCTACTGTTCGTGGCTCCAGAAACAAAACTCCTGATGTTGAAACATCCTGGCATGCGGGCAGGCTGCCTGCTGGACGTGACACAAGCATGCCGTGGTGCCTGGCTGGTTTCTTCATAATTCTCCCCGGGTGAAGCTGGCCACGGCACAGGGCCTGCACCAGAAGCCACGCA